TGGATCATCACCAAGTTTGGAGAGACAGCCGAGTGCTAGAACAGGGCTGAGTGGCAAGGCTCGTCTTCTGCAACAGAGCACGCCACCAAGATGAGAAGAGGCGCCTCTTTTATCTCACGCACAGAAACCAACACGGAGAGTCAAGGAACATGAGGATGTGGAGGAATGTGAACCAAACACCACCCCAAAGCATAAAATAAAACTCCCGAAATATACCTTAATGTTTACCTAGTAGTTTTATAAATGCTCATAACGATGCTCACCTCTCTAGGAGAACAAGGCTGCACAATGCGAGAATTTCAACAAAGAGATACAAAATGTGAGAACTAAAGATCTTATATACTTACATGCATGGCCCATGGACACAGGCAGTAGGGAAATAAAGACCTGTGGTGGGTGGGTAAGCGCTGGGGCGGGGGGGTCTAGGAGGGGAAATGGGAGCTATCTGTAATGCTATCAATAATAAAATATTTTTTTTAAAAAAAAATGTGAGAATGTACCAAACAGAAATCAATCACTGAACTGGAGAATTCAATAGAAGGGTTCAACAGCAGACTAGATGAAGCAGAAAAGAAGGTCCAGAAACTAAAAAAAAAAAAGACATGAAATTCATTCAATTAGAGGTTTGGTGCAGCCACCATGGAAAGCAGTATAAAGGGGCCTCAAAAAATTAATCAAATGTTCTAATGACCCAGCCATTCCACCCCCAGGTCTACATCCAAAGAAAATGAAATCACTACCATGAAGAGGAATCTGCAACCCCATGTTCATCGCCCCATTATTTACAATATACAAATCAAGCAAGTAATGTAAGTGCCCATCAGTGGGTGAATGCATAAGAAAATGTATATATGTAATGGAATATTATTCACCCAGAAAAACAAGCAAATGTGGCCATTTGCAACAACATAAATGGAATTTCAGGGCATTATGCAATGTGATGTCAGGCAGAGAAAGAAATACTGTATGATTTCAGTTATTTGTGGAACCTGGGGGTGAGGGGAGACTCACAGACACAGAGAAGAGATCGGTGGTTGTGAGAGGCTGCACGTTCAGTGGGGGAGTAGGTCAAAATGGTCAAATGAACAAGCTTCTAGTTATATGGTAAATACATTTTGAGGATATAATATCCAACATGGTGACTACAGCTAGCAATACTGGGTTGTATAATTGAAAGTTGCTAAAAGAGAAAATCCTTAAAGTGGATTTATTTCGCTCACAGCGTTTGGTATGGA